AAACCCAATTACAAAGATTTCTAAGCAATCTCAATTATATTTTCGAATTTTACAAGGATCTTCACAAGGATACTAAAATTCTTTATATGCGGTTACACAAAAACCCGTCTCCATGGACACAAGATCACACTTTTGATGTCCTACACATCAAACAACGATCTAAATATCTACCTTTATTATCCTTACCAATCTCCACTGCTTACAAAATTGTTGAGACAGACACTAGTGATATTGGATATGGTGGTATTTTCAAACAACAATATCGAGGTAAAGAATAATTAGTTCATTTTACCTCTGCTATATGGAAAGGACCGCAAGTATGGTAGTCTACAATACAAAAAGAAATTTTATCTATTATTTCTTGTATCAAGAAATTTGAATCTGATTTATTAAACTAAGAATTCTTATTATTAATTGATTGCAAAGTAGCAAAAGAAGTCCTCGAAAAAAATGTTAAAAACATTGTTTCATGATAAGCCTTCGCTTATTGGCAAGCAATTTTATGAGTATTTAACTTCAAAATTGAATATATTTGTGGTGATTCCAATTCTCTACCTGACTTTTTAACTTATGAATTCTTGCAGAGACCTACAAACATCGGAGCACCTTAATCTTAGCCATCATCAAAAGAAATTTAAATACCACCACATCTTTATTCGTCATAAACAGCGTATTTTCAGGATCAATCATTATTATCACTAGATGGCTCAGCCATCATCAAAAGCAATTTAAATATTACCACATTTTTATTCATCATAAATAGTGTATTTATCGAATCAATCATTTTTATCGCTAGATGGCTCACAATTTAAGAACCTATTCCCAAGCTACTTTCTCCTCCAAAGGATCCAATTTCATTTCACATAAAACACCTTCAATTTCTTCAAATATAACCAATAATGGATACTATACTCATGATATTACATACCCCATTGTTCCTTTGCTCCTTGATCATATCCAATATCTTAGAGAAAAGCCAAACATCAAACCAAAAACCCTTATCTCCACATATTTCCCTAACAATTGGCATTACCCCCACATTCTGGCCAACATTCCTAATTATGTCATGAGAAAATTCTTGAAGAAACCAAGTCCATTTCAGTCGAACATGTTTATTCTACGGATGTAATAACCCTCACTCCATCTTGGTCATGCTCTCATGCATTTATACGATTTTGTCTTGTTAAGCTTACATTACGGATCTTGTCTTGTTTTGCTTAAGTGTTGTTTGCTTTGCTTTGTTTGTTGCTTGGTGTGTGTAGCCGAGGTTATCCTAAGCTTAGGTCACCTTTGAGCCTCTTATGCCTAGGACCATCTTAGGATCACCTTGACTGACCTTCACCTTCACCTTGACATATTGGCCGAGATGTCATTATCTAGGCCGAAATGTTATCCCTGCACCTAGTGATCTTGTTCCTGGATTGGTGCGACCTAGACCGAGGTGTGACACATCTAGGCCAAGGTGTGGCATAGCTAGGCCAAGTGTCATCCTTCCTGGCCGAGATCATTGTTCCCTTACTTGCCGATGCCTTGTTATTAGCCGAGATCATTACCTGCCGGAGTGCCTATGCCATCTTGCTTGTTGAACACACTTTGTCATAGTCTTGTCTTTTCACTCAGTCACCTTTTTTAGTAGAACCAACCAACCGTTGCCACGTGTCCGAGCTGAGTGTTAAATCAGCCGGCAGAGGGAGAATGCATCATTTTTGTATCATATCTTGTTCTTGAGAAGAGAGAAGTTCTTAGAAGAGGAATAGATTTCCAAGCTTGATCTTTAGAGTTCAAACCGTTTGATTCGTGTTTTGAGGTCAGAATCTTAATCTACTCTTGTTGTTCTTATTGATGATCTAGCTGCATTGCATGATCGAACCTGATTTGCAAGCTATGCATCGATTTAGAGTTTGATTTTAGAAAGAGAAAGTGATATTCATGTGTTCTTGAATAGAAGCCTTGTTTGATCCGAAAGCTTGCATCGAGATTCATGTTTTTGTGTTTGTTTTCATGAAATCTTCGAGTATGGGTACCCAGGTCTATGTTTTTTAATTCATAGCATGAAATCTCAGATTTTGTAATGATAAGTTATGATCTTCGCATCCATGTTCTTCATGTTCATGTTCTTCAAGAAAGAGAAACCCAGATTTTCCCGACTTCATTTCCTTGAATGTGGCCATCGGGACCACACCTCGGCAAGGAGGTGTGGGACCTCGGCCAAGATCTGGTTGGTGCCCATTATGAAGGATCACACATCCTAGCAAACATAGTATATACCTAACAAACATAAGACATAACAAAGGAACCATGTACATAATAATGACCAACTACTAAGAATAAAAGTTTTGAGCTTAACATTTGTGGACAATCTACAAACTAATGTTTGTTGTCCACATGATGCAGTTCATATCAAGACACCAATTGCCATCCAGTCATATGAAGACACCACTTGCAGCCAAAATTGATGAACTGCAACAAAAGGAAATGAAATATTCTAAACTGATTTATAAAAATTTGAAAAGTATTTGTTAAGCATGAATGATTATCCCTATTTTGTGTATCAAGTGTTAGTCTTGTTTTGGATAACAACCTTTGAAAGTCTGTATGTGCTAGGGGGACTATAAGCATTTGTAGCACAACCTTTGTATTAGAGTAGATGTATAAAGAGAGAAATACAGAGAGAATAAATTGTATGTATTATTATTGATTGATGTATGTTTTGATGTATTGTATGTACATTATATAGGAGATGGAGATGTGAAGTGGAGGTGGAGTGGTGGAGTAGGTAAAGTGGAGTGTGTAGTGGAGTAGGTGAAGTGGAGGTGGAGTGGTGTAGTGGGTTAGGTTTAGTGGAGTAGGTTTAGGTGTACATTAACAGCCCCCCTCAAACTCAAGGAGGATAGGAACTAACCAACTTGAGTTTGAAAAGAATAACAAAACAGGAAAGTAAACTGATAAATAAAATAAAACAGGATAGGAGACACGGTATGGTCGTGTCAGACCGTTGTAGGAGACTTTATGAGGTCGTGTCAGACCGGTGTAGGAGACAGTTTATGAGGTCATGTCGGACCGTTGTAGAAGACAGTTTACGGGATCATGTCGGACCGTTGTAGAAGACAGTTTACGGGGTCATGTCGGACCGTTGTAGCAGACACTGTGTGGTCGTGTCAGACCGATGTAGAAGAGTTGTAAGACCTTGATAAGATGTATGACATTCCATTCGATCTATGCACAGCTCTTATGAACTAATTAGTTTTAAATTTATTGTTTCCGCACATGTTAGCCCTATATATACACTCTGATTGTGTGAATTCTTGTAAGTTGGCCTTTGGTAATCTCGGATTACTGGCCATCACGGCACCATTCTACTAGGGGCGGAATGGGGTCGTGACAACGGAAGATAAAAATCTTCTGCAATATTCCAAGCCACATATACTCAAAACTTATTTCTCAAGCAGAATGGGGACATCTCATGGTTTTACATCGCTTTGTCGACCCGAATCTAAAGACTGCTCAATGTAATTATTATGATTATCAAAATGCTGGGTTCTATGTTTTTTATTTCCAAAACCGATTCTTCCAACATTCCCGATGGATTCACTTTGGACCCAATTTTACCATTACTACTGGTGACATTCCTACATGGTTTGAACCATGGTGGCACCAATTTAGCCTACAATTTGTTGCTCTATCTGATCCCTTACAAGATTCATACCATATCTATCAGAAGAAGTTAAACCTCCTTTCCCTAAATTTTATATTTGTCCTTTTCAAACTCCCATGGATCATGGCTTGGCAGTATACCACTTCATATTCATATAATACTCATTTTCTCACTCAACAAATTGCCACAAAATGACGGAAAAATTACAGCATCCCAGTGTAGCATTTTCCAGATCAGCTTCTCCAATTTTACAAACAGCGAGAAAAATCTGCATCCATTAATCTTGCTCCTTCTATGGCCTTGTCATGCCCAAAATCTTCCTAGTCATTTGATTACAATAACTTTAAAATTGAACTCAAGAAAAAATTAAAGGATAAGTATCTCTCAATTCCAAAGCAAGAATTCCAACACAAATACAAGAAGGTTATCAAAATGTGAATGATCCAAATGGCTGAGGCAGAATCCCTCTCTAATTCTGATGAAGACATTGTATTAGAAACACTTCCCCCAATTGTAACTCAACATTGTCAACAGACAATATCACCACCATCCTTGCCAACTCATATTCTCACTCAAGACCTTAATAATGACTAATTCAACACGTGTAAAGGAATCGATTTCAATAATTTATAATTTTCACACAAAAATGACAAATCAAGTCAAACATAGACACTCAATTCCAACAAACTCATATGAAGACCAACTTTCCAGCTCAAAAGCAACAGCCATAATTATACTGTGTTTGGTTGGGGGATTTGAGAAGGGATTTGGAAAGGGAAATGAAAAAGGTAGGTGAAATGTGAATAAATCATGCCTATATTTCACATAGTTTCACACACCTTTTCCCTTTCCCTTTCCAAATCCCTTCCCAAATCCCCCAACCAAACACAGTATTACTGTCAACGTAACTTTTATAAAGTAAAGCAAAGATGCCCTTATCTCTCTCGCTCAAAACCAAATTCTCTCTTATCTAACTAGTTTAAAAAAAAAAACAAAAAAAACAAAAAAAAAAAAAAAAAAAAAAACACAAAAAACCAAAAAAATAATAATAATAAGGACAAACAAACTTAGTTTTATTTACTTGTATAAGGAATGTAAGGTTGTAATTTGCCGTTTGAAGAACTCTCTGCATGCGTTGCCCAACTGTTTAAAAGATTGTGAAATCGTGTAAGTACTTCTTTGTAATTTCCATTTTATAAATATAAATGTGATGCATATTTATTATGCTTTTAATTTCTGAAATTCATACTGAAATCAATGATAGCTTGCAATATATTTCGAATTTAGAAGAAATAGATCATTTAGGATTATTATTATCAATTGCTGCTGGTCATTAGCAAAGTCGTTTCACACTAAATGTACCCCAAGTCTATCAAAATTAAACTAAAAATCTTACAATGTGCAAAGATTCCCAACAGCCACTTTAATCTTTCTTTTCTTTTCCACAGTTTTTATCGCTCAAAATGTCTTCAACAAAACAAATCGAGCAAGGGAAAAAAAAAAAAAAACACATAGCTCAGCCTTTCTTCATTGTGCTCCAGTAATTACTGTTTCAGTCATGGTAATTTTATCTACAAAACAGGACTCAATTTCATTCTCTGGCATGGTATTTCTGGACAAGTCGGTTCCACAAGTGTCGAAGCTTTTAGTTGACGTACCGTCACGAGTCCCAGCAGGGCCCATTGTTGCAAGCTTGGTACAAACTTTCCTCAAAGTCACTCCAATTCCTTGAGAAAATCAAGGTTGTCAACAAAAACCTGCAGGAATTGAAAACAAGAATGACAAACCAGATTTATACAGCATACATCACCAGTGAACATTGCTCAATGAACTCCAAATTAATCCTACTTGTTTTAACAGTACAATTTGTTTTCCAACTCTTTTCCCATTCTTTTTTCCTAAATTAGCTGAAATAAATTAAAATGAAGAACATGGGTGGTTTTTTGATGCATATATTTCCTACTAGGAGTCTACTTAAACCATTGCAAATAATTACTTTGACATTGTCTCCTGCATATATACAATATGTGTACATATGTGTCCAGTAAAAAACTAAAATGAGCTTCAATACACTAGTTCAACCATCATTGTGCTATGCATTTTCAATATTGCTATATTTTAAACTAAAATATTATTCAAGGAGCATACACAGTAATTATTTAAAACATAGAATACAAAATCAATAGTTCAAGCAAATGTTTAAAAACCCTAATGGTACAAGGCAATACAAGTTATTTAAAGCAAGTATATTCTACAAGCACAATGATGAAACAAACTTATCATAATCAAAGGAACAAAGACATTAAAAGTTATACCGTTTTCCAACCATCAGGATCCAGGCATGCAGTAATCTTGGTGTTGATCCCAGGTAATGGTCCAGGTTCTCGGGTAATCTTCCCACCAGAGAGTTTAATCACTTCTGCAGTTTTGTAAACATCATCTGTGCCTATTGCTATCTGCAAAGATATCAAACTATCAGCTGCCATATTTGGTTCCTCATTATAGGTCCGTCACGGCACAAACTAATTTATAGTTCTACAAAGTAGAGAGATAAGTAAAACAGGTAAAGAGAAAGAATCAAGATAAACTGTTTCAACCTGAGCATAGCCATTTCCTTTGTCATATTCAGTGACCCCATAGTTGTATGTCAACTCCAGCACAACATTTTTGTCCTCAGGACCATAGCCCATCATTGCTATCATATACTAGAAAAGGGACCAGAAGATTATATTAATGCCTACCACCAAAAGAGGCTCATATAATGCAAACTTCAATGATCAAGTGTTGAAAATGAATGAATGTACAATAAATTGGGAGCCCAAAATATAAACTATTAATCTGTCATATTGATATCACCCGCTATCTTTGAAATTTTTGCTCACAAGACTATTCACTATTAATGTGCTGCAGGTTCCACATGAGTGGAAGTCCAATTTGACAAAAGAGAGAAACTAGCATTCGTCATGTTTCTTTGCCACTCACATGGTTAGAAGTGGGTGTCTAGTCTAATTTTAAGTCTCTCTAGAAGAAAGGCCAATAATCTGGATTACCCTTTTTAGAAGAGTTTATATGTTCTTAAGCATGACAAATTCTCCATGTAGACCCAGCTCACTAAAATGCAGCCACATGGCCTAGTGGATGGCAAATATGATTACTACACCCTTGCAGGCCACAACTAAGTGGACGACAAATGAAGAAAGACTGAAAGAGAGGTTACCCAAGGCATCTGCATTTTGAGAACATCTTCAGCATGTATGGGAACATGCATCCATATTAATGGAGATACACATATGATATGACATATTTAAATAAATAAAAATCCTCTTGATCAAAAGAGAGCATTAACTTGACTTCCTCAGTAGTAGGCAGCTTAGTTCAAGAATCACAGTTGTGCAACGTAAGGAAGCAATAGCTGATAGTTAGCACTTAGCACAGCTACTCATGAACATAATCATGTCCAAGAAACTCCACACTTGTAAACTAGGGAAAATTAATTCTTTAATATATAGGCTCAAAGGGAGGGTTAAGTTCATCAGAAGACTCTTTTGGCTAATTGAGACCCTGTCGAGTTGAGAGAGAAACCTTATTACAGAGTGAATCCTTCTGAAGCCTCAGAGGCAGATCAGACACCAATAGTGGCAATGAATGAATAAGCTAGTACCTAATACAAGAATTCTCATCAATGGTGTTTTAGGGTAACAACAATCTACTTACTGGCTATTAAGTTATTGGGTCACGTCCTCGCAATTACAAGGTGATCATGAAGATCCTATCCAACTAGATGAGAAGTTGAAATTCAAAGCAAGGGGATGCCCCTTTCTAATACATTTCTCTATAATCTACGCCCGGGTGCAGGGTAGATCAAGCAAATTCACCACTTCCAAGTCCAACACAAATGCTTATATCAATGTGACATAGATAGCAACCTACATTTTCCAATGCAGAAGATGTCAAATTACCTTATACTCAGGTCTATCTCGTTTCCGAAGAAGCTCCATGCCAAAAGCCTAAATAGAGGGGAAAAACATGTGGAGATTGAGAACTTTATACAAGACTAACAACAGTGTAGATAAGAGTAAAGAACTAATCAGCAATGAAAACAAAATAATTTATGAATAATATGGAAATGTGGAATGAGGCTGTTGCTAAAGATATTCAATTTTTTTGGAGCAACTCTCACCTTCTCATAAAATTGAATGGAACGATCAAGATCACCAACTCGAAGCATCACTTGGCAGAGGGGTTCAGGTGTAGGCCCCCTCTCAAGAATTTCAAACTTATAACCATCAGGATCTTCTACAAATGCAATTACAGTACTGCCACCTTTGACAGGACCAGGTTCCCTGGTAACTTTTCCACCCTTAGCCTTTACGAGATCCACAGTTTTGGCAACCTATACATACCAACATCACTTGATTGATGAATGCTTAACATAATCCAATGGGCTCAAAAATAACTGTGGAGAATACATTTTATAAAACTACATTCACTATCCAATATTCTTGCAGCACTGCATGTGGAACAGGATAAGTGTTGTAACTGGTATGAAATGTCTCCCACAGTACCCACATAGCAAAGACAAAGATGTTTCTATTTAGATCAATCTATGTGAATACAGAGAAGGAAAATGCACACATGAAAACTGGAGCCAAGAAAAGAAATTTCAGAAATTCTCTCAGAAGAAATTACAACTTACAGATTCAAGTCTAATTCTTACTACACAAAAGATGTTTTCCATGAGGAAATCCAGCATGCTACTTCATTATGCAAAACTTCTAGTTCAGAAGCCAAAAAAAAAAAAAACTAAAAATAGTTACATCATCAAATAATATAAACTTGGCATTGTAAGGCTTTTTAAGCATCTATGATGTGACTGTAACAGATAATTGTATTTTATTTGAAGCAACAGTTAGAGAAAACATATCAACAGAAGAAAATTCAAATGAAACTTACATCTTCAACTGCAATACCAAAATGACCAAAACCAGTTCCAATATCATACTTGTCAACCCCATAATCTGGCAGCAACAAAATAAATCACACATCAGTTTAAGCAGCAGATATTGACACTAAGCTCACAAGAAAGACTACAAGTCTACAGTGCGTATTGAAATTATTCTACAGAAGGTTGGTTCATAATAGGTCCATATTGTAGATTATTGTGATCAAATTAAGAAGTTTTAGTGGGTTTACTGTAAGTGAGTTCTATAACAAAGTGAGAATCTTCTGGCCCGTATCCAAGAAAAGCATTTGTGTATCTCTCTTCGGGTATGTCACGTTTTCGCAACAGCTTCATCCCCAAGCATTCAGTGTAGAATCTGTAGTCAACATTAGAGTTTGATCAAAATGTCATCACTATTGAGAAGAATAACAAATTACAAAACTGCCAAACAGGTCATGTTATATTGAATAAATGTACTTTATTGTCTTGTCCAAATCACCGACACGGTATACAACATGGAGCATTCTTCTCTTGTCCTTTTTGACCCAGTCTAGGGTATCTTCTTGTGTGATAGCAGTGCTGGCTTGTGCCATATTTCCAGCTGTGCGAACTGCTAGTTTGTTTCCGTCTGTTCTTAACAACTTAGAAACTTTTGTGCTGAAAAACTGCGACTGTGGAACCGCTGGAAAATAGTCAGATCCAGTTAGTAGGCAGTGAAATTATTAAGTAGAACTGAATGTCATGAATCCACCAGAATGTAAATTTATTTTTATTTTTTTATTTTTTTTACCCAAAAAAATAAATATTATTGATGAAGCAAAAAGGATAAAAAAACAAAAACAAAAAGGGAAAAAACAGAGGACAAGGTGCCCTCTACAAGAAAACCAGCTATTACATCAAAACAAAAATCCCAAAGAAAAACCCTATACATCATAAACCGCTTTCCAATCTCTAGAAATGTAAAAGAACATAACCCCTTTAAAGTGATCTGAAAAAAACACCCAAAGTGACACCCAATGACACAATTTGTCCCACAATAGATCTACTTCCTCAAACTTGTCCTCAAATATCCTTGTATTCCTTTCTAACCAAATTCCCGAAAGATGGCAAAAATAACACACCGCCACAGCACTTTTGCTCTCCTACTACGCAAAACCTTGGAAATCAATTAGGAGCATATGACCACACTCCCCTGCAGCCACATGATGTGTCTCGGTCAAAAGTAAAATCTAGTGCCAAAGATTCGATACAACGGAGCAATGCAAAAAAAGATGATTCATGGATTCCCCATCCTCCCTAAACATAACGCACCATTGAGGACAAAATGTTTTGACACAAAGAAAATGTCCCAAGACCTCAAAATTCCAAATACATGAGAGTCATGCCTGCTGCATGAACCTAAGAACTCATAATTTTTAATCCTTTTCATTGAGAATGAACAAAAAATAAAGAGAAAGCAATTCAAATCAACTGCAACATAGATCGGTGCCCCTGTATCCCATCAAACCAAGCAAAGCATTCGGCATGATGCACTATTTTTTTCTTTTTTCTTAAACTTGATAAATGTTAAAAAGTGTATAATTATTATATTATTTTTCGATATTTAAACACTTTCTTATTATTTTAGTTTCCTCATTTTATTTTTAATTGTGAGTTTAATGATTTAGTTTTACTTTTTGCAGAAAAACTTGCAATTAAAATGAAGATGCTTGGGGGCTAGTTTGCAATTATTGAAAGGGGATAATGAACAACGAAAAGAAGAAAATGCATTTGCTACGTTCTTTAAGACTATAAGGCAAAAACAGTGGGCCCTAGTTCTCAAAGGTTTGCAGATGTCCAAATGTGTAGTGTACATGTGGGTCTTTGGAGAAAAGAATTAGGTGCATGATTTAAAAGAATTGTTGAAGCTAATTTGAGCAAGAGGCGGTAGCTCCTATGCAGTGCTGCCTAAGAAGCACGGGCACTTCGAAAAAAGTGGTGTGTCCATGTCGTGTCCGTGTCGGACTCTAACAATCGTCAAGCACGTTCCCAACACGTGTCCGACACTCATCCAAACGTGTCCTATTTTTTTAAAAAGAATTTAGACTCAAACACTCTTTGGACAGTTGAAAGGCACACGTGTCCATTGCTTAAACACGCGTCCATTGATCAGACACACATGAAACTAATTATAAGTTTGAACAAAGGAACTTAAAATACAATGATAAAAGAAAATTAATATCAATTTAAAAATTAATATTATATTATATTTATTTCTTGTGTTAGAATGATATATTTATATATATGATATATAATAAATATATAAAATTATATATCATGTGCATGTCCCCCCACATGTCGTATCCTACATTTTTTGAACATTGTCATATCAGCGTATCTATGTCATATTCATGACATGTCACGTGTCCGCATCCATACTTCTTAGACTGCTATTGTCATGATATGACGAGAAGGAATGAAATGAAAAAAATTACTAGAGTTTTTACCGCCTTAGTAATTCGGCAAAACCTCCACAACACTTGATTTACTAACTCAACTTGTGTTCTTCAAATTCTATAAAAAGATGTATAAGTATAGGGATTCGGGCTCATTCAAAGAATATAATTCAACACATATATTTTTGTTTCCATAGTGTTCTAAATTTTTCTTTGCTAAGACTAGGGGTGAGACCCCAATGATTTCATTGTAAATATTTTAATGATTCAATCAAGGTTTTTAATGTAAAATTATTCTAATTAATTTTTTTATTTATTTTTGGAAAAAGAAAATTTATTCTAAACAATTCTTCGTTCTATTGTAGACCTCAAGCACTATAGACGTTTAGAGTTCCCTGCGAATCAAATAACAAAATTTTTATGGTGTATTGATCAATGACTATATTCAATCTTTCAAAATTATTTTTAAGAAATAAGTGTTTTATTTTCTGATTGGGTATACCCTTTGTGTATGTCTCAATTGAATTATACAAATTGAATCTAGAATATTTCAAAAAAACCATTGGTGGAGGATCCTTAATGCCTTAGTACCTTTCAACTATTGTCACTACGATTTATTTTTCAGCAAATTAATTTTTCCAAACCATTCAACCATTCGAAAATTAAATATCAATTTTCTTTATTATATTTGATGGCTCTGTTCTTTATTCAAATAAATTGGTCTTTGTGGATTCGACCTCGAACTCATCGAGTATATTACTTCGCGACATCTTGCACTTGAGATTGCAATATTAAAGCCGCAACAAAACTCAAAGATTTACTCTAGCTCAAAGAGCCCCAGTCAAGCTTACATAATGAAGCTTTCATTGAAGTTAATTTCAATGAAAAGCTAACCAAATTAGTAAATTTGTTCATTTGACCTATGATTTGATGGAAAACCCCCAAAACTCCAACAATTTAATTGCAAAGACACAGAAATCCCCCATAAATAAATAAATGAACAGATGAGGAAAAACAAGAAATGGATTCCAAAATCACCATAATTCCCGTTTCCATGTTCTTTAGCAAGAACCTTGGTGAATGCTCATAGACCTCTAGTAATTCTTTACACATTTTAATTTATATCATTTCAACCTTTCTTAGATTGATATATTTTGGAAATTTGTTAACTTGTTGTACAGTACTACTCAAGTTGCAGAACACTATTACAAAAAAACCTAATTTGATTGAGAACATAATCACACTCACCACTAAGCAAATAATTAAACAAGAAACATTGTGATTTGCGAACACATAAATGATCCAAATGTCACACGGTAATGATCAAATAGGCTTAGCATTAGCAATCAGCAAATAGTTTCCACACATCATTTAGATACACATAATGAAACTACAAAACCTCCAAATACTAGTAAACAGTACAATTAACACAGCCAAACAGTTATCCAATCAAGATTCGAAACTTGCATAGCAAATTGAGCAAACATGCAATGTAAAACAACAATGAAAGTCTTAGGGTTTGAAGAACTAGTCATTACCGCTGCCAAGATGAAAGCAATTGATCCTCCGAGCGAGGATATAGGAGGAGAGAGAAACACCGAAGCGAGAGACACCAAAAGAAAACCTAAGGGAGGAGAGAGACGGACGAATGGAGGACGCCATGGGAATCATCCTCGTCAACTGTTTCTCTGTCTATATCTATGTATATCAACAGAGTCTGTCTGTAGTGTAGAGAGAGAGAGGCTGTGTTGAGAACGAGATTCCGATGTCCCACGACGAGAGTCACGAGAGTCGAGAGGCTTCACTACTACCCTGGGGGTGTTTGGTTTCACCGTTTTTGATATCCATACCAGGGGTGGAGATGTGGATGGATTGACACACTGTAATTTTTTAATTTTTTATAATATATATATATATATATATAGGGCAAATTACATATACACCCCTCGAGGTTTGGTTAAATTACAGATACCCCCTGAGGTTTCGGAAATTACATCCCGCCCCCTGAGGTTTGTATTTTCATAACAATTTACCCCCTGAGGTTTATATTTCATAACAAATTACCCCCTAATTTCTTATGCAAATATAGCATTCAGGGGGGAATTCGTAATTTCTCAAACCTCAGGGGGATATCTGTAATTTAGCCAAACCTCGAAGGGTGTATATGTAATTTGCCCTTTTTTATAACAGTAATAATAGAGATCTCCACAAAACATAATTCTGTAATTCTAAAATTATCTGAGCTATTCATGTCACTGTCAGAAATGAAAAAAAAAAAATCAAACACATCAATGGGTCATGCGGGCCCTCCTTTGTAAGGGTCTCAAATATTTTCCTATAAAAAAATAAAAAGAATTATATGACAATTTATAATAACAAAAATGGTAGAAATTTTAAAAATTTTACCAAAAATTTTATTAAATATCCCACATGTGAATACCACCCCATATAAGACATTTAGTAGAACTTTTAGTAAAATTTTTGAGATGCCTAACATTATTCTTATAATAATTTATTCTTATAATAATTTTATAATTTTTTAGTTAAAATATTCGATCACCAAACGTTTGGGCTTTTAGTTTGATTTATCATGAGTTGGACTCATAAACGTTTTCAAACATAAGAGGCCGATCAATGGCCCAGAGCAAGGGTCATCACTGCAACTAAAGGCCCAGAGCAAGGGTCATCACTGCAAAAAGAGTGATTTTACTTACATTAATACATTATTACTTTACTTTTTTGCACCATTCATCTCATTACATTATTAAAAAAAATATATAATTCTTATTACACCTATTATATTACTAAAATTAACCCTAAAGTAAGACTTTTTGAAACATTTTTATCTCTTTACACCAATAATTTTTGGAGAGAAAATAAGCGAACAGAGAAAGAAACATGGAAGACAATGAGTGGAGCCGACAGCGAATTGCCTATTCGGTCGCATAGTGCTGAACAATTTACATTCATCTGGTGTTATGTTGCTAGAAAAAATGGATTTCTCCAGTGTTTTGTTGATATACATTTACAGAGTCACTTTTCTTTCAAACAATGATTTTTAAATTTGTGCCGAGCCTATTCGGTAATACAATGCTAATAAATTTGAATTAATCCAGTGCCATGTTACCAGACAAACCTTTTTTTCCCAACAATATATTGTCGTACGATTAGATGATAACAAGAAATTAATTCAAGGTCACTTATGAAATGCTTGTTCAGTGATACATTGATATGTAAATTAGATTACTCTTGTGTCATGTTGTCAAACTATAATATATTTGTCTAGCCACATGTCGTTGTACGTTGAAAGATTTACTTTTTCTTTCAAACATCCATAAAAAACATCTATAAATCAAACACGTATCCATAAAATCATACATAAAAAGTATCCATAAAAATATTCATAAAAACATTAAGTGTACGAGCATTCATAAAAACATCCATACAATCTGTCATTGTTTACATTCATCAATCAAACATGTTATCATAATTCATCTATATCAATAGTTTCAGTAGTTACTACATTAGGATTGACAAACGTATGGAATTGATGAATACGGATAGTATATGATTTCTCTCATCCACTAGAACATGGTTGATGAAAACGAATCCAATTATTTACCATCTGATGTTTTTATAACAATGACAAATCAAGTCTTCTTCCCAACGTCAGAAGCACATTTAATTAATGCTTGACGACTATTAAAAATCTAAATATAGTAAATACATTTATATGTCAAATTATTAATAAAATTCAATACAAATTAAAAACAAGAAAAAAATCGTATTTATAAAAAAAAAAATTAACAAATCTCGTCTGTAATGAATTCATGACTGGAATCCACTAATAATGCAGTACGTGCATTGTTGCAATGAGTAGAAGTATAATCCTTTCAAGCAAAAAAAAATATAAAAATATAAAAAAAATAAAACTAGAAATACACGGTAATAAATAGTCAAACAAATAAAAAACATTCAGCCTTGAGTTACGGGAAGTGTATCTTTTATCCGGCAGTTGGTTACTAGAAATATATTTTTGGTTCGACAATGTAATACCGGACTATTTTATTTTGTTCGATTTCAAAACATCGAACAAAAGTCGAAGAACAGTCTAGAAAAACGAAATAAAAACCTACTAACACAAATAAAAAAACTCACCATTTCATTTTTTTGATTGTTGTTCATCACCATTTCTTCATCTATTACTTTCTTCTATGATCAAAACACTATGATTCTCACTTTTTGAAAAGAGATGCGTAAGAGAGAAGAAAAATTGAGAACGGAAGAAGAGGAGTAAAGATTGAGGATTAAGGAGTATAAGGAGATAATAAAATATATAATAATACTTCGTAGCTCGAAACTCCTTTTCTCCGAATGGCTCGACTGCTCAAAACATTTTTTTTTTTTTCTCCCTCTCATATCTTTCAATAATAAGTAGTCAAACAAATAAAAAACATTCGGCCTTGAGTTACAGGAAATGTATCTTTTATTCGGCAGTTGGTTACTAGACATATATTTTTTGTTCGGCAATGTAATGCCGGACTATTTTATTTTGTTCGATTTCAAAACATCGAACAAAAGTCGAAGAACAGTATAGAAAAACGAAATAAAAACCTACTAAACAAATAAAAAAACTCACCATTTTATTTTTTTGATTGTTGTTCATCACCATTTCTTCATCTATTACTTTCTTCTATGATCAAAACACTATGATTCTCACTTTTTGAAAAGAGATGTGTAAGAGAGAAGAAAAATTGAGAGCGGAAGAAGAGGAGTAAAGATTGAGGATTAAGGAGTATAAGGAGATAATAAAATATATAATAATACTTCGTAGCTCGAAACTTCTTTTCCCCGAATGGCTCGACTGCTCAAAATGACTTTTTTTTTTTTTTTTCTCCCTCTTATATCTCTGAAACAAATTGAGGAAGAGAGAAAAGAGAGAAGAATAGAAAGAGGGAGAAGAGAGAGGAAAGGGGAACATAGAAAGAGAGGCTCTACCCACCACCGGTGCCGCCATCCTCTGTGTGTATACACAGATAGATCTGTGTGTGCATGCACAAATTTGTATATCTGTTGATGATCTGTGTATATGTGTGTTCTCTGATCTGTTGATGATCTCTGTGTTTGTATAGATCTGTGTTTGTGTGTATTGATGATCTATGTATGTGTCTGAGTTATGGAAGAAGAAAAAAAAAAAAAACAGAGGCAGAAAAGATGATGTGCGATGATGATGATGATGATGTGTTGTTATTTGATGTTGATGATGATGTGTGGTGGTGATGATGATGATGATGATAATGTGTTGTTGTTTGATGTTGATCCTCTCTCTCTCGATTAATGATGATGATCTGAGTTGATTGATGCTCTCTTTTCTTCTCTCTTCTTCTTCTTTACCTCTGTTTCAGAGAGAAAATAGGGGGGTAAATTTTTTTTCAAAACAACGTCATTTTGGAACTTAGGCCATTCAAGCCTCAGTATTTTCGAGCTACAAATCGGAACTGTAAAATAGATTTAATTTTAGTGTTTTGTCCTTAAAGGAATTTCACACGTGGGTAAAATTGAAAAAAAATAAATAAATAAAAATTCTCAGAGGGTGTAAAGAGATAAAGTATTAGTGTAAGTAGAATCACTCTTGCAAAAATAAAGTGGTTGCCTCTTTATCTATACTATTATATTAAGGGGCAAATTACCAACAAGTCCTCTTTGAAAGAGGTGTGGCCTATTTAGTCCCACAACCTTTTGTTTATACCCAAAAGGTATATAATGTTTTTCTTCTTCTCTGTCTTTTGCCTCTTTCTCTTCCTGATTTCCGATGACCATATCTTACTTCTTCTCTTTCTCTTTCTAATAGATATTCACAGGCGACCAACAACCACCATCGATTAAGGTTCACTACCAACCACCGATCATCGATTCCTTGCTTTACCCTCATGGACGGTGAAGATGATATGTTTGTGATGAAAAAGATGAGTAGATCTAGATCAGATCCGACTAGATTTAAATAAAAAATATAAAACCAGAGTACAATCCTCTCTCTATATCTATCTCTCTCCTCCGATCTCTCAATTTTTCTACATTGTCTCTATTATACACTTCTCTTTTCCTGTTTTAATGAAGAAAATTTTCAAGTTTTAGTTACAGGCGGTGAAAACTATAAAATTTTGCAGTTTCAATTTTTCTTTTTTAAATGAATCATGATTTAAAACTGTCAAATTTTACAGTTTCATAACATTTTTTAAAACTGTAAAACTTTGTAGTTTCATAAAATATTTTTCAATTTGATTAATAAGGATAAATACTTAATAGATTTTTGCTTTGATACTGTAATATTTTATAATTTCAAAACTTACTTTTTAGTTTGATTAATATTAGAAATTATTTACTTAAACCCTACAAAAATTGAAAAATACACATATGTTTTCTTTCCTATTATTGTTGCCTTTTGTTGTTTTTTTTTTTCTTTTTAATTTATCAATATTTAACATATTTTGCTATGTTTTTCTGTTCTAATGTTTCTATTTATTCTTTTTTTTGGCAATATTGTAGATATTCTGGTAAATCTCCGATAATATTCTTAACGTCCACCGAACGTTCTGGACATTCTAGTGACTTCCAGTGACTTTCAGAACATTCCGACAAACTTCCAGCTATATTTTAGCGACTTCCCAGTAATGTTGAACATTCTGACAAGTCTTTAGTGACCGTCTCACGGAAGTCCGACGGTGATGGGACATAGTAGCGTCTGTAAAAAAAATTTTAAAAAATATATAAAAAATTGGTAATAATTAAAAATATGTAAGACATTATTGGTGCATGTATTTTGTTTTGAAACTAAATGAGTTTTGAACTTTGTGTATGT